TGCAACTGGGACGTGTCATGAGGGCAGTGCTGCAACAAGGTGAGTACAGCAGAGAAAATGACTGATGGTGAAGTACACGTACTTGCAGCAGCACTTGGTACCGCCACGTGATTCCCCATCCCCGCTCCCCAGCTGAACGTGCAGGGCTGATACATGCAACCCACCCACATGTAAGCCCCCCACTGCTTATTTTAGGATGGGGCTGATCAGTTGACTTGAGCTTTAGAAGATCTCTCACAGTGCCATATCTGTGATTTGCATTTTTGTGCACAACCTCGGTTCAGCCTTGTGCTTTGGTGACTGACAGGTTGCCTGGAAGTTGCGGTGCCTGGATGAGTAAGTCTCTGCCTTGGTCGACCTGAGGGGATTCAGCTTTAGTTGTTCCTACCATCTCATTCCCAATGAAGAGAAGTAGTCTTACAACTTACTATATCAAATCTTAAAAAGAAGGTGGCCATTATCAATGAAACTGAAACCTTTCCTTGCTGTAAGTTACCACAAAATTTGATCTGAGCTAATGTAATTTCTGGGAAATGTAATACACTGAAATCTTGGCTACCAGCAAAAGGCCAAACATGATACATACCCCCTTTTTATGGTCTTCACAACATCAGCCCAATTTGCAGAACAAACACATTCAGCCTTCAGCCCTTGTCCTATCACTCGTGCATCCTGCAGCTAGTAAGATGGATGCATTCAGTGATGCTCCAGGAGAAAACTACCCCTGCACTGGTGAGAGCTGCTCTAGTACCTGCATTCTGCCAGCAAAACTGTCTGCTTAACAGCCCCTGAGAGACATTCACAGCCCCAGGAGAAGGTCAGAGCCACAGTAACAGCAGTCTGCAGAAGTTAGGCTCTCTACCATGCTTGACAATAGTGAGGGGGTTCAAGGGATCTCTGGAAGTTCCCAGTCCAGAGTAAAACTATTGTTCACAATACCTGCAAAGGGAGGTTGAATTTGTAAATCTTATTGCATAGTGGTACAGGACACAGATCACTAATCAGCTTTAGGCTGTGAGTTAAACATTAAAAGGAAATGGTAATTGTTAAACCCACTTAGTACAGACTTGTGCTGACACTATTCCTGCTACCCAAGCTGCATTCACTAGAAACAAAAAACATTTTATTTTAATTACAGATATCTTTCTTCTCTAGATTGGCCTGAAAGGCTCCAACAGGTGAAACAGAAAATCCAGCCTGAGCAAGCAATTGATGCCATCCCTGGGTGCCAGAGCCACAGGAGGACAGAAAACACAAAGTGTTTTGTAATGGATATTCTCAAAATTCATGTGGGGGGATGAATAAATACTGGGTGAAACCATGGAAGCCTCCAGGATCAGATCCTGTAACTGAGCAGTAAGGAGAGCTGTCATTACATGACCGCAGAATTTCTGGGCTCACAGAAAAACACAGATGATCATGACTTGGAACCTCCTGGAAACGGTTATGCTCCTGTTCCTCCCACACCAGCGAGGCGGCACATTCTCTTGAAAGCAGGAAGCTGACTGGGAAGAAACTTCCACACCTGTCCTTGCAGCTCTCTGAGCTGCTCCAAAGCTGGAGCTGTGTGACTTCTGCTGTGAAATCCCATCTTGCTGGAGCTGGTTTTGTACCGTGTGGTTTTCCTCCCCTGCCAGCTCCTGCTCTCAGTCCAGCTGAGGTCATTTAGCATTAACTATTCTGTAGTACTGGTTCTTGGCTGCTGTAGAGCCCTTTGCTGCTGGACCTGCCCAAGCATCTGGCACTTGCTACAGTAGAAGGATGCGGTGGAGTGGCTGCAGCCCAGGCCCAGCTGACCCATGCCAGGCCACGTATGTGGATGGCAAAATACCATCTTCCCTTTTGGAAACCAACCTGCTCCATGAACTGATGTCAAGGACAAAGCTACAGCGCCGTTCTGATGAGAAGTGACACATGTTGTGGGAATGCATGGCTGGTTTCCACAGACCTTATCAAGAGGCAAATCTTTTGACTGTCTTTTGTGCCCATTTTTTATTTTTCCTACTTTTTTATCTTTAAATGGGGAAACGGTTGCTACTGTCCTGTTTCTGTTAAGCATTTCTTGTTTTATTTAAAGTTTTGAGCCATTTTCAGTCTGTATACATACCGAAAATCAGGACGAAGAGCGCTTTTGCCCTTCTGCTCCACGGGAGTTCTCTGCCCTCCCTGAGCTCACCTTCGGACCCCACGTCAGGCTTTGCTAGGCGTACCGCCCCAGGCAAACTCTTCCACTCGGCAGCGGCTCCGACGCGGCGGGACTGGGAGTAGCAGGGTGACCTCCTGCAATTCCAAGAGCGGCCGCTCGGGGGCGCGGTGAGCGGCGCAGGCAGACGGCGCGGCCCGGCAGTGCGCGCAAGGACCGCTCACCTCTCGGCACAACGGTCTGCTGCCTCCCAGCCTACACATCCAGCCGTGGTCTCCACTAGCCAGAAAGCTCTTGCTAAAAGGAACGTGGCTACCCAGAAATGCGGCTGTTCAGGTCTTTAGATGCGGGGTTTGCCTGAGTCTGCTGCTGCCCTCACACGATGGCAGAAATACCATCTGCATAAGGTGGATGACCTGCTCAACCTGCTGGTAGAGCTGGAGAGATTAAGGAACATCAGGGAGTGTGAGCAGGAGATGGACCGGTGAAGCAGCTCCCTGCCATATCTGCAAGAAAGGCAGCGGTGTGATAGCAATTCATATAAGCGGTGGATCCCTTGCCCCACTGCAATTGGGCAGGGAGAGGGGAACCTAAGAGACAGAAAGGAATGGAAACAGGAGAGCTCCCCTCCCTACCTATGCTGCTTTCCCAGATGCCTTTATACCATAGATTTGAGGCTCTGGATCTCCAAAGACAAGTGCAGGTGCTGTGGAAGGTCCACCCAGAAGGTTGTCTATGGAGAGAGAGGTGGTTGACTCCACGCCTCAAGACTCCTCCACCAAGAAGGAAAGAAGGGTAATCACCACAGGAGACTCCCTTCTGAGAGGAATGGAGGGCCCTGTATGTCAGCCAGACCTCACCTGTACGGAAGTGTGGGAGACCCCTCAGCCTGCTTTACAGAAGCTCTTTTAGTTTAAAAACCATTTCCCTTTGTCCTATCACTATCAGTCTGTGTAAAACGTTTTCTCCCCTCCTGCTTATAGTCTCCCTTTAAGTACTGGAAGGACACAGTGAGGTCTCCCTGGAGCCTTCTGTTTCCAGCATGAACAAATCCACCTCCCTCAACCTTTCCTCATAGAAGAGGTGCTCCAGCCCTTTGATCATCTTTGTTGCCCTCCTCTAGACCTGCTACACCCAAGAGGAGAAATAATCCAGCAAGCATGTGAGCAAGGTCCTCCCCTGTCAGCGAAAAGCATCTCTGGGCTACTTCCAATGCTGCACAATAGCAAAAATGGGGGACAGTGAATTAATACCCCTGATGCTAACTCGAGGCCTCCCACCCCACAGCCTGCTGGGGACTTTGCAAACTTGTGCTGAAAAACATTAGTTTGGTCTGTAAATGCAGGAGACAGGAATAAGCCATCTTCAGAATTAGCTTAGTGGTATCTGATGCCAATGCCATTATTTTAGTATTATAGAAATGTGAATGTACTTTAATATTATTTCACTGGTTAAGTATTAATGTGCTACTAATAAATATATTCCACATGAAAATATATCTTAGAATGGAATATCATTATTTTCTTACTAACTGATCTCTGAAGATTGTGATCTATTAGTATTTTACTCTCTATCCATTAATGCAAACACTGATTTTCAATTAAATTCCTATTTATCCACTATAAACTTATTGCCACCATTCAGCATATTTCCTCCCAACAGAAACATGACTTAGACTTCCTTGTGAATGATCTGCTTTGGGACTGGTAACCTCTCATCCTGAAGGTCTCCTCTTGAGACTAAGAGAGAATGCCTTTACCATGTGATTATTATTTAAATAGCTTTGCTTCTTTGCTCTTATCATTAATGAGGCACCACCTATCTCAGCTGAGCCGATGGGTGAGTCAGAGCCATCACACTTATCATTCCTCTCCCTTTTGGTGCTTGGGGAAGAAAAGGCAGAGCTGATGTGGGCTCCACATGCCTGGAGGAGAAATTTCTGCTGAGCAGAGCTGTAGGCTATCTCCTGGAACAGCTGCCCAGAGAGGCTGTGGATGCCCCGTCCATCCCTGGAGGTGTTCAAGGCCAGGTTGGATGGGGCCCTGGGCAGCCTGGTCTGGTATTAAATGTGGAGGTTGGTGGCCCTGTGTGTGGCAGGGGGTTGGAGATTCACGATCCTTGAGGTCCCTTCCAACCCTGGCCATTCTGTGATTCTGTGATTCCTCCTGCTCCCACTGGGCATCCCGGCCCCAGGGAGCCCCGTCGCGGTGTTACCTGGCATCCATGGCATACGTGGGCACCTCCCTGACTCCTGGTGCCTTGCGAGTGGTGGGAGGGAGAAGAGCTGCCAGGATCACAAGGCGATCAGCGGGATTAAGGCTAGACAGCCGGGCTACGCGTAAACCTCTCGGTCGGCTCTTTGTCATTCCCACCAGGGAATCGATTTACAGTCTCATAAAGTTCATAAAGTACCAAAAAACGACCATACTCGAGAACAACCCCGGCGGGGGGGGTTTACTGTGACTGCCCTGGGGCTGCCAGAAGCGGCCGTCAGAGAGCGGACAGCACCCCGCCACAACGCGCGAGCCGTACCGACAGCGCGCCCGCCCCGCACGGGACGCGGCGGAGAACCCGTGTGACCTTCCGCCTTCTCTGCCGCCGTTCCCCGGGAGGAAAACGAGGCGGAGCCTCGCGCCGGACGGTCCTGCGTGAAGCCTCGCGCCCGCGCGGCCTCGAACCCTTTCCAAACGGCTCGGCGGAGCCGCGAGTCGCGCGGCCGCGCGCCCCACGCACGAGATGGCGGCGGGGAGATGACACGGAGCTCACGTGACGCGCCGCCCCGCCCCGCCCGCCGCCGCCGCTCGGGACGCGGAGCCGCCGCTGCCGCAGCCGCCGTCCAGGGGAGCCGCCCGGCAGGCGGCCGCCGCCACGAACCTGCCGAGCCCTGGGGCTCCGCGCCGCCCTCCCGGTG